ATACTATGAGAGAACCGTGCATATGAAATGAGTGATTAAATAATAGGGCGTTCCCTTAAAAGATCTAAAATCATGCGTAAGTGGTTCGATATTTTAGTTTTTAGACTGCTGTCAAAGCTACATTAAGAATCACGCTCGATTTCAGTCTCCCAATCGTTTAAAGAAAAGATACGCTTATTCTGCCAAAGAGAGATCGCACTTTTGTGGTAGATTTGAATTCCTTTTTGGCGACTTCTTCTTGCAATCCCCATAATTTCTTACTTTAATAAAATACCATTGATAAACCACTTGAGAAACCAGAAGTAGATGATGTGGGATTCTAAAAAAAAGAAATAAGTAAGAAGATAAATAGCGATATAATGTATCATTATTTGTCGATCCAATAATCCGCCATATATCGACATTTTACTGTTCCCAAACAAGAAGGAAACCCCGTTCTGCGAAGTGTTTTGAGTGAGGAGACTATGCTGAACAATAAAAATGAATCAAACACCCTTTCATTTATGGAACCACTTCCGTACCTTGTAAGCCCTACCTAAGCAATTGGTTGTACTACAAGTAGATAGGAAACAAACGTTGGGGGATTAGAATCGGATGTAATTTTTGTACCACATAAGTGAGCTTAGGGTGCTTTAAATAATTGCTCGTCAGGAGACAATGAAGACTTTTGTTAGACGTTAGGTATAATCTATGGAGAAGTCGAAGTTATGTTTCCAGTGACATATTTTCAAGAAACTATATGGCTTGTCCTAGTGTCTAGGTTTTGGGTGCTTTGTAAGTGTTCTTTCTTTCTCAAAGTCACGTTTACCGTGACACGGTTTCCAAGTTCACGATCACATGGGGTGTGTGTGTGTGTGTGTGGCCATCTCTAGCAGCGGAATTTGGAAGTGGCCGCACAGCTCAAGTTGCGGCTCTGGGCCTTAACTTGACTATGGTAAAATGCTGACACTGTGTGCTCGCCGCAACATTTGAGCAACACTCACACACAGATAGACGCATGTGTGTGTCTGAGTGTGTGTGTGTGTGTGTGTGTGTGTGTGTAGAGGTGGTGGTCGGCTTCGAGTGTGCCACAACTTTGAGGCCAATTGTTTGCGCTTGCAAGTTGTGCAAATTGCTCGAGTTGAGTGGCCAAGTTGTGTCCAGAGACCATATAGCCAGCCAGTTTGCAGCGTATGGTCTCGAGCCAAGCATCTAAGCATCTGCAGCAGTTCCATATATGTACGAGTATGTGTGTGTGTGTGTGTGTGTGTCTCTGTACATATTGTCTTGTCATATGTTGCCGGCCAATACTTTGGCATTTGGTTGGCCCTCATTTCGCCATTAGGCAGCTTGGCAGGCGGCATGGCTGGAGGAGTGTCGTCGTCGTCGTCGTCGTCGCCTGCGTCTGTGTTGCCAAAATATAACGAAAATTAATGTTACTCTTGACTTCGTCTTCCTTCCCATTTTTTTTTGTGGTTTTTTTTTTTGTTCTTACTCCTGCGTTGACATTTTGCGCCGCTTGCAGGCAGAAAAGCAAAAGGCAAAAGCAGAATGTAAACGAAAACGAAAACAAATCAAACGCACGGCGACGAAGCATAAAAAACTGCTTTGGAGCAGTGATTGGAAGCGGTTCCACTTTCAGGTTTACCTAGATGTTTTTTATATGAACAAATACATATGTACAAATGACTATATGTAAGTACATACATATATGTATATGCATGTATGGTTCTGTATGTGAGTGGCTCTATAGCTGCGGGCAAATGTGCGCGCGCGCTCTTAGATTTTGCTTGCTACTCGTATTGCTATTGTTGTTGCTGGGTGGAAAGGCGGCAAGACGGCAAAGCGGCAAGGCGGCGGGAAATGTCATGGGCAACAAGGGGTGAAAGGGGAGGGGAAACGGACGCGGGTGCGGGCGCGGGCGCAACAGCAGAAGCAGAAGCAGCAGATTGGCAACAGTTGTATAAACGATTGGGATGTTTACTTGATAATACGAGTGAAGCATGTAACGTTAGTCCTGGAGGTTGTGGCTGCGCACGCGGTTCTGCACTCAGAGAAGCAAACAATTTAGGAAAATTTTGTACTTTTCATTTGGGCAACAGTGCAATTTCGTTTCTTTGGAAACGTCATCGAATTACCTTCATTCATTTTATAAAGGAATACTCACTCGATCATAGGAATGACGCCTGAGCCAAAACTTTATTCGTTCGAATTGAACTTAAAATACTTGTAAGTATATTTGTTTGAACTCGAAAACGGGACCAGCCATGATTTTATTTGAATGAACAATGTTATGCCACATATAGAAATCAAGCGGACTTGTTGTTCTTTCCGAATCTGACTCACTTTTGTGGAATTGAAATTAAAAGTTCACAATTCCCAAAGGACATTCGATTCACAAGAGGTTGTAAAGCACTCGACTTACATATATTTTTAAAAAGGAGTCATATTTGAACTGAATTGAACGTCGATTCCGAATAGCTTGATCCATTTCAAAAACATTAACTGCACTTGAAACCTCTAAATTGACATGCCTTGGAAAAGAAATTCGAGAGAGATTTCAATTCTAGTTTTCCATGTTTCTTTAAATAACAAGATTTCGTTATGTTTTTCAATTGTCATAAAAAATTGGATTATTTATCTATTGATAATAAGAAAGCGGATTGATTGAAGTATGAACTGCATTTCCAATTGCAGTTCAATGTAGTGTTGTTTTAATATAACATTGAAATCTATCATCGGTGATGTATATATCAGTCTTTAATGTAATTGAGTTGGGGGTATCGCCTCCACTTTCCAACAATTTGCGAATTCAACTAACTGCGATAGATCCTCAGGTAAAGAAAAATCAAATCTTGTCCATTTGTTTGTTCTTTAAGATGAGAGTGAGAGCGCGATTAAATGGTGTATTTTAAAAATATGGAGGGCACTATTAAATATCATATTCATTGAATTGAACTTCAAAGACCAACTCTATGTGAGGTATTCACTATTTCTTGCTTCCACTCCCATAGTATATTTGAATTTAATAAGTGACTAAGTAGAATTATCGACATTGAAAATGAACCAATAGATTAGTTACTTGTATGAATTCTACCAGCACAAGTACAGAAAAGAGAACATCAATCGATCGCTGTTGGCAGAGCCTTTGTTGATCATGTTGGGAAAGAGGTTCACATCTTCAGCAGTCATACGACACATAGTATTTAATTTAAAGAGATGCCTATGTCGGTACATAAAGAAAATGCATAAGTAAATATAGAAAGAACTACCCAAGAATAGAAATGAGAAGAAAATACCCGTACATATATAAAGTTTCATTATGATGGGTTGATTAGAAAGAAAGCTATAGCCATATAACCAGGCCAAATGTATGTATGCAGGTATGGAATATTTTATATTTAATTTAATTAAGTAATTAAATTAATTAATTTTTTTTTTGTGGGGTGGTACAGGGTATTTAAGAGTTGAGCCTGCTCGACCTGCATTCCTTCCTTGTAATCCATAACAATATTTTACATATGTGAAGGTCTGATGTGACAGAAACAGTATCACATGGCTGATTGGAAGTATAATTTTTTGCAGTGTATGTGTGTGGTGTGGGTGTGCGCATGCATGGGTCTGAAGCCTCTGTTATGGCTGGGAGCGACGACCGACGACCGACAAGGAAGGTAGCGAAAATCAAACGAAACGAAAACATGACCCGCAGGGGCCAAAACCGAAACGAATAAATGAAATTTCAAAGCGATATAACAGACGCATACACAACCACACTCACACACACACACACACACACACACACACACACACATGCATGCATGCATGCATACCTACATATGTATGTGTCTGTATGTAACTGTGCATATGAAATTGCATTTGCGCATGCAGATGAGCAGCGCAGCTAACGTCGCTAACGTCGCTGACGTCGACAGCGACGACGACGACGACGACAAGCTCTGTGGGCGTTTTGCTGGCCTGCAAGTGAGCGATGCTGACCCGACAGTAACCGCCGGCTAGTGGCAGCGTACATACACACACATGTACATACTTGTACATACATATATGTATGTACGTGCGCCGATAGAAAAAAATCAAGAATTTTGCACTTAAACCGATACCAACCAGACAGCGCTGAAAGCACGGCCAGATCGGAAAATCGAATACCAAGCTCAAATTCCTATGTACGAGTATGTGGCTCCGATTGCGCTCTTCCAATTTCGGAAAATGTTGACGGTTCTAATCCTGCTTCAACTTTATTTGATAAAGTTTATGTTTTGTTTGTAATTTCCTTTCGAAACTTTTTTTCTCCTTTATCTCAACTAATTAGTTTTCTATTAGTTGTGCTATTGATTTTGATGGCAAATAACCACTAAATGGTTTTAATTGTCCAACACGGGTGAAAAAATGTAAAAACTATGGAAGATAGGAAAAGGCATTATTAGCGGGGAAGAGGGAAAATCAAACCCATAATAATGTACCCCGCTGGAGCCTTGTCCTTATCGGTTTGGTCATTTCTCATTCATTCTCCTCCTTCTCTCGAATATATTTTTGTTTTTGTGAGTCGGTTTTAGTGTGGCTTGATTTGTTTATTTCGTTTTAAGGCTCCTCCGGAAGGTGGGAGCTGTCGCTGATAATTTGGCTGCGACATTTTCTGTATAAATATATACATACATATATAAATACATATGTACTCGTATGTACATATGTATGTTGTATGGTTAATGAAACAAGACTGCCACATCGACACAAAAAAAAATTAATTTTTAATTTTACATCAGCAAAAAAGTGTAATTATTTATAAATTAAACGCTTCGGGCAGCGCGGGCTTATAGTAACTATTGGGCTTTTACTATATTGTAGCAGAGCCTATTATCCGATGTCAACTCATATCGATAAGCACTAATTACTCGATTTAAGTTCATATCATCGCATTGGCCGATGTGACATACATATGTACATACATACATATATATGTACTGTATAAAGCACTCGCCTCTCGTCGATTATAAGTTTGAGCGCCATTTGCTCGAATGTATAGTGCCTTTGCATTGGAACGAAAGTGTAATCCTTGGACTTCAATTATATGCACCATTAAGTCTTTGATACAAAGAGAACCGCAGCCAAGCCAAGTCAGAAAATATTGTTTTAGGACCCTCAATAATGGAACAGCATGAGCAACACATTGAGAGGCTGGAAGACCTTCTACGTCTGCATAAAACCATCCAATCACTTCAAAACAAAATGAAAGTGCAACTCGAAACATGGTAAGCAAGCCATTTAATACAAACCAATATTTTAACTCTTTACTTTATATATTTTCCAGCTGTGATACTCTGCAAGTCAAAAATGATAAGCTTACTGCCTCAAACACGATGCTCATGTCGATAATTGGGAGGTACGAGCGAAAATATGAAGAACTCATACTACAAATCGGCGATATGGAAGCCGTAATTGATGCACTTAATGCGCTGGTCGCGATGTTCGTATGCGAGAGAGAAATGTACGATCTCAAGGCAGACAAGGACATACAAAATGTACGCCAAGGGGAAAGGGAGAAGCATCGCGCTAAAATGGATCTCCTCTCGCAAAGCAGCGCCCACATCAAGAATAAGCTTAATGCTGCCACTAAAGCGGCCGCGGACTTGGAAACGCGTAACAAAGAACTTGCTAGTAAATACAAAAATAAAGTGGAAGAATGTCGTTGTCTACGTAATTTAAACAACATTCAAGAGAAACAGCTGCAGCAGTTCGCAAAAAAAGAAGCCTCGTGAAATGCGTGAAGTTCCAGTAGAGGAGCCGTGAAGATGAATTGTCGAGCCCACTCTTCCTACATAGGAGTATTTATGTTATTTATTTGCCTTCATGTCTGCTTACTATATTTATAGATTCATGTTCAATTTTTGTAATACATATTTTTGTGCCAAACTGAATTGAATGATTAACTTCCTGTGGGTGGTAGCGGTAAGGTGAGAGGTAATGGAGAGGAGATGTACTAAAGCCCTTTCACACTCAAAGACAAATAAAATAAAATACATACATATGTACATACATAAATTAATTATAATACATTGCTTCGGTTGCCCCACAAGGGGAAAGAAATTTGCACCCACAACAAAAACACTTAAAGCAAATATATCACAAATTAAAATAGATATTACAAAATTATCAGAGTATGCTAATTAATAATTCGATTTTATTTTCTTTCCCAAAAGATCACCTTCGCCGCCTGACGAAGGGAGCCGTTTGAAGCTTGCGAAAGCGCGGCTTGCTGCGTAGAAAAACAAAGACCTGCACACAGCACACAAAAAGTGCCGTTTGAAAGCGTGCGAAGGGGCTAGCTGATTGCCAAAACAGAGCGGCTCGCCGAGTGCAAGAAGGACAGCGTGCTGTGCAGCCGTGTGCAGAAAGTGCCGTTCGACGCCGGTCTTAACAGGTTAGCGCTGGTTACTGCAGCTCAATGGTTTGACTGTTTTACTCTTCACTTATTGTAACAGTGGTGGCAAAAAAAATAAAAAATTATTCGCTGAGCTTTAAGTGAAGATTTGTGTGATTATTAGTATTATCTTTTATACCCTGTAACCAAAGGGTGAAACAAGAAATGAATACTTGAGTCGAGTGGGATTAATTCTTAAATACCCTATACCACTCCCACAGAAACAACAAATATTTTACTTAAAATATGTTTATAATTTAAAAAAAAGTAAATCAATAAAATAGAATACATAAAATAAGAAATGTACAAGTATAACACTTAGATAGTGTCGTAAGTTTAAATGAAATAAATTGTGACTATGTGTGCGGTACAGAGTTGCTTCAGGGAAAGAATAAACGAAATTTCTCGGGCTTAGGAAAAACAGAGAAACAGAATTAGGTGTATATGCTCGCACTAAATTAGTATACCCTTGTCCAAGGTATAAAAAATATTTGCAGAGTTTTAAGAGTTGGGTCCGCTTAACGCTACCATTACATTCTTGCATTACGTACTTTATATTACTGCACCAACAAAGCTAACACTCCCTTTGTATTTTACTTGCAGGGTGCATCGAGTGCGAGAGCTGTGAGCGCCTGGCAGTCGTGGGAGTGAATGGACCTTTCATTTACCGTTTCAATTTAATTGAAACTGAGCGGATGTTGGTCAGTCACCTCGCGCACCTTCATCTTATCTGATCGGTGCTTTTTTAATGATTTGAAAAATACAATTATTAAAGAAAATACTGGTTTTTGAATTTATAAAATTCAGTCTGCAATTAAAGTAAAAGTGAAAACTATGGAAAAAAGTGCAATAAAGCACCGAGCATATTATTATTAAAATAATTACGCACAAATTGGTCTTCTACGTATGTATTTGGCAACGCGCAGAACATATGTACATACATGCATATGTACATATACACAAACAATAACAGGAGACATGATAATGCTGAGAGCAGAGAGTAAATTGAAGAGGAGAGAGTTACACTACTATTGTTGTTGTGTTGCGAATGTGCGTATCAGTGAATGAATGAGTGACTCGCCTATTTTTTTTTAATTTCGTCTCGTCTTATATTATTTGCGGCAAGTCTTGAAGAAATGCTGTTACTAGATTAAAATTCAGTCTGCAGTTGAAGTAAAAGTGAAAACAATGCCACAAAGAACTAAGTAAATTATTATTAAAATAATGATGCACAAATTTGTTAGCTGTGACGTATTTGTCGTGCCATTGAACATACAAACAACAACAGGAGACCTGATAATTTGCTGAGAGCAGAAAGTAAATTGCAAAGGAGACCGTTACGGAGAGAGTTACATTATTGCATTATTGTTGTTGTTGCGAATGTGCGTATCTGTCAATGTAAGTGTGGCTTGCTCTTTTGCTTTATTTCTTATTGTCTTATATTAATTGCGTCTTGTCTGCTTATCCAAACGGAGAGGGGAATATTTTAAGTGAACAGTTCATTGGAATATGAAACCAAAACAAGAAAATGCAAAGCTTGTGCAAACAGTTTAGTTGCAATCCGAAATTACAGTTGAAAGCTGCTTAGGCTCCATATATCTTTATATACATACGTACATATGTATGTACCTGGTGATTACATGTATTCATGTACAATATTTTTTATTTTTATTAAGATCACATTTTTAAACTATGTACGTATTTATTAATTTTTCCATTTTATTTGTGTGTCGACCAAGAAGGCCGTCAATGTAAGCGAAAACATTAAATACGAAAACTGATAGGGTTATCGAATATATCGATTTTTTGTTACCCTATTTTAAAACTTTGTCTTACTCTGAGAATCGTTTTAGAACATACAATAAATAATACAAATAATAATTACATCATTGCATATAATGAGTGTATGTTTGTTTGTATGAACTTGTATGTACATAATTCGTACGACAAGAGGTTTGTTAAGCCGTTAAGTTTGACACCGTTATTGCTTTACGTGGCGAGCAGTATATAAGCACATTTGTATGTACATCTGTATATACTTGTATGTAGCCACCCATGTGGGAATAAATAAATAAAGCAATGCTTTGAGATTTCTCTTTGGGGGGAAATGTGCGGCTGTTTATAATGGCACCTGCTTGTAAAGAGCTTAAGGACCAACTATGGGGCATCAATTGCTCAAAAGCAATGTTACAAAGAAATGCCAACATACATTTAAAGCGCTTCAGACACACACACACACACGTACACACACACAAAGACGGACTGAGAATCGCACAGGACGCACCTTTGTCGCTACATTTGAGAGTCGGCGACAGTCGACGGTCGAGTTGACTCGAAAGGAAATGCGCGCGTTTTAACTTTCTTTCACACACATTCATAAAAACACACACACACACACACGCTTTCGTCGTTGTGCGCGTTTTGCCTTATTTTTATCAGCTTTTGGTCGTTGGCTGTTTGTGGCAAAACGGAAATGCGATTTAAATTATTTGATTTCCGTTTTTCTGAGCAGCCACATGCCGACATAGCAGCTCTCCTACTCTTCCCTCTACGCTCCCACCGTTCCCTTCTACTTCAACTTCAATTCCAGCTGCAGCTCCTGCTCCAGCTCTCCACCCCATTCCTGGTCTGTCTCAAGCCATTACTCGAGCTTCTTCCTCCACCGCGTTGCGCTGCGCTGTCTCATGATGCGACAGTTTCGTTGCACATTTTTTTTATTGGCTCTGCCTTTTAATGATGGCCACTTCAGCATTTCCGCTTGCCTGTGCCACATCGTCGTAGGATTTGTTAGATACGGTAGAGGCGAGAGACGCGAGACGAACAGGACACCATGTGAAATGCGCAGCGTGGGGGCGTGGCACTGGGCGGGATATAGAAGCTGCTTCGAGTTGGGTGTGCGCTGGCGTGAATGTTGCTCGTAAATTTGTTAGTTTATTAGCGCAATTTCCGTTGCTAATTAATTTCCAGGCCACACGCAGACAGACAGACACACACACACATGTATAGATAACGCTTATAGCCATCGTCGCCTCTTTCTCTCTCTCTCTACTATATGTGGCTGTGTGGGAGAGATATTGGTAGTGACTTGCAGCCGTAGTTTTTAAAACGCGCTAACAACGCCATTCATTGAAATGGAGGGGGGTGTTTGGTAGGCGGTTGGTTGCTTCTTAGATTCGTTGGCTGGCGGCCCGATACTTGCCTTGGCTTAGTTGTTTACGGCGTTCCCGAATCTTTGGCCTTGCAGCGTTTTAGTTAAACTTTAAGATTGCAATGACATGCAATTAAATGTTTTTGATAAAAGGGCAACTCCTTGTAGAACGATTTGCTCGTGTAGTGTGAATTCGGGTGGGACTGTGCTTTACACAAACATTCATGGGACTTTGGTTTCCATAATAATATCCCAGAGCAGCAATTAGGGAAGATGTTTGAAAGAAAACAACTTTTAATGGCGAGCATTAAAAGAGATAGTCTATAGATTACCGATATAGAACAAGTAGCAAGTTCTTCTTCTGAAAATCTAGCAAACATGTAGCTTCCAATGTCAAAGCAAAGCTTGAAAAACAGATTTTGTTTGTTTTGTTGTTACATATGTATGTAAGTATATGTTTCAAGCTTAGCCTAGGCCTGAAGTATTAAATTGGAGTATTTAATTGGTATTTCTGTGAGATTTTTTAGGAAAGTTAGCTCTGAGACATAATGACTCTGTCCTTAATGGGAAAAATGTGTGCGGTACCCCCATTGACCAGTTCGTCTGCGATTCAGGCCCCCTCACCAATATGGGGCCAACACATGAGCATGAGGTAAGGTCGAGTAAATCGTGCTATCCCTTTAATGCTGGAGTCTAAGCTATATGTTTGTGTGGGTATCAAAAACAAAAAAGGGAGAGAACAAAAAAAAAACAAAAAAATGTCCTTTAAATATGTCAGACAAGTGCAGCTGACAGCATTAAGTGGCAGGTAATATGAGTTAGACAGTAAGTGAAATGCTTTTTTTTGGTGTTTTGGGCCAACACACACACATATGCATACACCTACAGAGTTCAATTGCAGGGCCCGTCGTCAATTTGCCTTGCTGCATAGGATTTCGAATTAATTAAGCTGGCAAAGCACTACCTAGGAGTTGGGGTTGATGCTAATACTCACGTATAGTATACGTACATACTATATATACATATTTTCAATTTCCGGCGCATTGAAAGAAAAACGAAGGAGCAAAAACAAAAATACCGAAATAAAAACGAGAACTCGATGAACGCAAAAAGAGCGAACGCAAGAGTAGAAGTGTGGACTGTCGACTTTGGACTGTGGACTGTGGACTATGGACTATGGTGTATGGAGTGGCTGAGTGAGTGAGCTATAAATTATAATTTTCAAGACATGTTTTCGGCCCAGACTTGCCTGCCAAACAAATGACTGCGAGCTGCTAAGCTTATATGTATATTGGTGTTTGTGCT